ATTCACAAAGTTCTAAAAATCTTTGTGAGGCACTGGAGAAGGAAACTGCCGTGTAGCAGGACCAGGGCACCTGGGAAGACAGAAAATAGCTCTGGAGAATCTCCTAGCATCATCTATGATGACCAGGGGAGTGAAAAACAGCCCTGTAGTTCATACAGCAATTTGGGTTAGGGAATTTCAGGTGAGGCCCAAAATTCACAGCTCTCTGCCCATAATAATTTAGAGCAAATATCCAGCTTCTTTGTTATATTTCCTTTTTTTTTTTTTTTTTTTTTTTTTTCCTGGTCTGTTACAGAGCAGTATGTGTCTTGTGGCAGATGGTATGGGCTTAAGATATAAGGGAACTACGCACTCTCAGAGAGGTTTCATCCAGGAGCCTATGAATAAGGTTGGAGGACATGGCTCTCCTTGAGCTGAACCAGTAACACCAGTGTGAGAAGCTGAAGAATGGTGCTTTGGTGTGACTCAGGCAGCAGATCCTACATTTCATTTATGGAAAGTTTTTAATTTTGGTGTCCCTTCTGACTGACTCTAGCTAGGAACTACTGTTTTCAACTCTGTTCGATGGAGATTGCAGCCTAGTTCAGAGAGTTTCATTGTGAACCTCGAGGAACCTGCAGAAGGATGTGGGAGGAATCTGGATTCCAACATGAGTGACTCCACTCTGCCTGCAGGTAAACGGAGCAGAAAGCAATTTTAAGCTTGGTGAATTTTGCTGTCCCTGTGGAAGTTTTCTTACTGCACAGATAGGATCCTGGTTTGTTCTATGAAAATTCATAAAGTCCTTGCTTAGGCCATGTCCTGAATAAAAGTGGTGGTGTCTGGAGGAAACCTGTTCTGTAATCATGGGGCATTCTTAAAAGTGCTTCTCTTTCTGAAATCAGCTTTGGCTGATTCAGCACGTTCTTTCTCTGAACCTCTGTGACACTGAAGTCAATAATGCATTCACCCCAAAGTGCGTTTCTGCACCTGTGTGCTATTTAGGCATCTTTCATTTGTAATAATAGACATGATTTGAACATGAGAACAGCCTTTTTCCTTCGGAGGCAAGCTGAGAAGTGTTACATCACGGATGATGAGGCTGGCTCATCAGTAGTACAAACAGTAAAAGCTTGCCACCTTCCCATGGCCCAGCAGTGAATGAGGACAAATTGGTTATCCAGTACTGCTTTTACTTTTGTTCAGAGCAGTGCATTCTCCAGGGGGCTACACCAAGGGCATGGGGCTACTCCGGGATCATCCATTTTATACCTTACACATTCTTGATTCTGTTGGATCTTTCTCCTGCAGTTCTGACCGTGGCTGCAGTGATGCAGGAGTGCTGGCCAACATGCCATACGGAGTAATGAATTCACGGGTCTGTTTCTTGGAAAACAATGTTTTGTTTTTGTTCCTGTTAATTCAGTGTTTGAAATGTCACAGGTTCACAGTTCCGGCTAGTTAATGTAGCCTTTATATCCACCAGGAAGAGAGGAGGAGCAGCTCTTGCTACTGAAGTGCACGTTTTGTCATTTCGTCTCTCACTGTGAGTCTTCACCACTTCACAGTAATTCTCAGAAACACTGTCAGCAAGGACACCAGAAAGCCACTCAGTTTGCTTGAGGGGCTCTGTGTTTTTCTGGATTTGATTACTTGTTCAATATGTACTACACTAAATCAGATCACTTGATTGTACAGATATCAGATGAAAACCCCCTCGTATACTCCACCAGCAAAGATGAGATTAGACTAGAATTCAGATACGTGCTCAGTGCTGGTCTAAATACATGCTGCTACTGTTTATCAATGCTAATAGTACACCCTTTCTGTCAAAGTTTTATTTCAGTGGAAAGTAACTTTCTGGTGATTTCCTTTTTATCTCCATAATGTTCTTTTGTTGAAACAAATGGAAATTTAAATTTATCTTTTTGACAAAAATGCTGACGTCCTAAAGAGAAAATTATCAAAGAGAGTTAAAAGTTTTTAGAGAAAGTTTTAGTCCCTTGGCCTAAGGCCAGAATCGGTCACTTGGATTCTCTGGCCTGACACACAGTGTTTTTACTCTAACTCCTGCTTTGTAGTTTTGAAGCGATCTTATCCCATATTCTAGGATAACAGGTGGATGTAAAGAAGGACCAAGATGTAGCAGCAACATTTGCACAGCAAGTACACAAGCTAATGTTATACAGAGGGACCCAAAAGTACTGACAATATCTCACTTGTTATTTACCCAAGGTTACCAAATACCATTTTGAAATCTATTTTATTTGTGCCGTTAATCTCTAAGTCATTGATATTGCACTTGACAGAATATTGAAATACACTGTTATAATCAAAAGGTTTAAAATACATGTGACTGAATAGCAGCTTAAATTTCAGGAATAAAAGATCACACGGAGTTAGACATCTGAAACAATGCCAGGTGTCTGAACAATGTTACATGTTGCATGGGTCTGATGCCATGTTCTTACATAGTGTGGTATTTGATTGATGGCCTCTCTGGGAAAGTTCTCAAAGCAGACCCTTCAGTCCTCCCTTAATTGTTCCTTTATTTTTACTTTTGTTCAGACGCAGTTTTCCTGTACACCTGTGAGCTCCCATTACTCAGTCTATAGGTTTTTGTATAGCTCGTGAAACGTATTCATTTCTGTTGCGATAATTCAAGTCTTTAGGCATGTAACCTTTTCAAACCGCACAGGCCCTTGAGTCTTTGAAAACTGCTGGACTTTTTAAAGTATGGGTTTCTTTACAGCTTGGCTTTTGCTTCAGAATTAACAGGTAGGCTTCCTTCTGTGTTTTGCACAGAAGCTCCTTTCCTTGTTGCTAGGAATAACCTTGGTTTTGGGTTGCAGCCTGAGCAAGTACAGCTTTTTCTCTTAAGTCAGACCTGAGGTGTTGGTGTTGCTATGCAGAGAAGGAATTGGAGCCTTTCTGCATCACCACCCCAACTGCAAAGCTGGTGATGTGTGCACAGTCTGCTCTAGAGTCACGGGTGGGCTGGGGCAGGGCTGTGGAAAAGATAAAGACATCAGAAAGACAAAGTTTCTGCAGGCAAAACAGAAGTAACATGTAATAAGCATAATAATAAGACTCTTGGCATCACTTTCCTTTAGGTTTGTTCTGGAGGTTCGTTTTGGCTTTGTTACTCACACTGGTGGAGTAACAACACAGAACTGTATTCCCTGCTGAGAGTGTGCATTTCCCAGTGTGTTTATATGTTCATGAAGTTTTTGGCACAACACGGGATCCTCCAAAGAGGAAGCAAAATTAGAAGTTGCATTGAGAGTAAGAAAAACCACTGACAGGTGTGAATACATGAGGTTAATTATGGAAAAGAACTGGTCACAGAGTGTGACATACTGCATAAAGCAAGGACTGAAATTATAAAGGACCTACAAAGATAGAAAGGAGTCATAAAATAAAGCATTACTAAAGAACCGAGGTGGCTGAGGGTAGCAGTGATTCAGGACACAGCTTTTTTTGCTAGATGTCTGAGATAAATTTGGCTCATGTATGAAAATTGACTGAAAACGGTAGCTGAAATGAATCACACGAGGGATTTTCTGATCTCATTTGTAGTGGCTTGTATTACTGCATTGTGTTGAAGATCTTTGTGGTAATTAAAGGAATGAAAATGAAGAGTGAATAAGCAATTGGGTGTGAACACAGCACTCATTTTGGATGTGTGTGGTTCACCTAGACTTGCTAGGAGTAGTTTTACAAAAGTAAGCTAGAAGAGGTTTTAATACTACCTCTTGTTTTATTTTTCAATTAAAAATGAAATGAAGCCCTTGGGTTACTTCATCCAAATTCTCTCTTCAAACTGTAGGTTGGCCCCCCATGGACCTAAAACATATGGTGGGTGTGGAAGTCTCAGGTAATGGCACATCCAGGGGGACCTTCTTAATGTCCCCTGGCAGTACCTCACCCCCTCAAAAAAAAAGTCTGTAAATTAGTGCTAATCTAAAGCTGCTGTTAAAAATGTATCTCCTCCTTTTTGCTGAAAGTTCCTTCAGTTCAGGGTAGTGTTAGGGACTGGAGGATTTTACTCAGCCTCCCTGTGGAATCTCCAAAATCCATTAGCTGCAAAAAATGTCACAATTTTGGAGGTCTCTGCCACAAGTATAAAAATGTCCTCTACCAAAATAAAGTGAGTCCCACAGCCCACTCAGGGCTTACAACTGCAACGAGTGCCAAGCGATAGCTTTCATGTGTGTATTTCTCATTTGAAGCTGATTCTCCAAAATGTCCCTTGTTTCAGCTGAAAAATTTCTTTAGTCTCTAAATTGTCCTTGACTCAACAGTGACATTTTCAAATCGGGTAAAATTCAAATCTAAAGGAGGACATTTACGGTTTTCTAAATATTTAACCTCCCCTTTCAGATTTCATATTCTCAGTTTAGGCCATTTGTCGCTACTCATTTATTTTATCCTTATTTCTGTATCATAAAGTTCAAGGCATGTGTAGGGAAAAAAGGGAGTCCCAGAATGGCCCTGAACGGTGCGTTTATTACAGACCATCGCTGCAGTTGTTTAAGTCATTGTATTTTAGGGAGCAATGATCAGGCACTTTTATCACCCTCTTTCCTTATACATCAATGTACCCTGCAGGGACACCGTCTGTCATATGCCATCGGATTGTGTGTAAAGATTCCCTCTGACTGCCTTACTTGGGGAGCTGCACTGGTTGCCCTTGGGTCTCTCAGTGGAGCTTCAGATGCTGGCTATGATCCCCGAAGCAGTAAATAGTCTGGCACTTCTCTGCCTGCACGATAGTGCTGCAGCTGCTGGTCAGCAGAGGGTACTTGAGCCAAGAGCCAATTGTCATAAAAGGGAAAAGCTGCTCTCTGATTTGGGGATGCACTCCCTCCTCTGGTCCCAGATTGCCAGATTCGGTGAAAGGTTTTTTTGGACACAGCATGTGCTTTCCAAATAATAAAGGATGAGGAAGGGAAGTCTGTAAGGGAGTGGCAGAGACCTCCTTGAAAACTTTCAGGTGTTTAAAGTCAGCAGTATATCACAGCACTTCTCAGCTGTCAGTGCTCCCCAGCTGCAGGCCATGGGGTGAGCTTGTGAGAAAACTGCTTACACCTGAGAATAAGCTCCCTCACATTGAAAGGTGTGGAAATGGGCAGTGAAGTGATGGCAAGAAGCCATCTTGCACCACTCCTTGTAAGTTGCTTGAAAATGGAGCCATTTGTCACCCACAAAACAGAGGAGACAGCAAAATGAGGTGGGTGAAAGCAGGGGCTGCAGCGTGGGTGAGCAGCAGCTGCCACGGGGATCCTGGGCATGCAGGGGGCATTGGCATGGGGATGTTGATGTGATCCTGGCCATGTAATGCTGCTGCTGCTGCAGGCTGATGTGTCACCCTGAAAAATACAATGCGTGGAAAGTGTCAGCTAGCCAGTGCCCTATTACTGCAGTGGGGTGCAGAGGGAAGCCAAGAGTTTGGAAGAAAAGGAGAGGGCTCTGCAGGGTTGCTGGCCAGCCTCTTGGTCTGGGCATAAGAGCTGCAAAGGAAAGTTTGCTGCTCTTCAGCAGCTATCCTCTGGGAATCAAAAATGCTTAACAAGAGTGCATGCTGCAAATATGTCCTGCTCTTCTCCTCGGGAGGAAATGCAAGCGCTGTGACCATTGCAATTGCTTGCTCAAGGTCAATATGGAGTAAAAATCTGGAATTGCAGTTCCATAACTGTTGTTGCATCTCTGGGAATTTGCTACACACACTAAGAGCTCGGTTCTATGAGTCGGTCATGATAATAGAATAAATACTGAATTGCAAAAAAATAATTAGTATTTAAAGAAAATCATAGCACTCTGGTTTATCCATGAGAATGTGACTGCAAAAAGCGTGTAAAAAAGAAAGCCCTAACCTTTTATCAAATGACACAGTGTGATTTGTAATTAGGTAATAGCTGTTGTCTCCTGACAACCTGAGATGATTTCCACCAGATTATTGTGGGATCAATACTAGCTGAATAATTAAAATTCAATACTGCTATGTCTTTATCAATAGCACTGTAGAAATGATATATGACAGATTTAATTGAATTTGTCAGACAGTTTGGCTACATGCATAGATCAAGGGGATATTTTTAGAGTTTTGTGTTTCATTTCTGATTATACTTACCTTGTACCTTTTAACATTCATCGTTACATCGAAGCATTAAGACTGCTTGCTCAGGGAGCACTGGCAAACTGTAAATAGTGACCCTGAGTTTATGCTGAACTTTAAGTCTAAATGTTAAGAGTCTTAATGCAGACTTTCGGTAATTACTTCAGGGTACATGTTAAAAGGCAAAACAGTGACAAAGTGGAGGCAACCAAGCGTTTTGTTTCTTTTTAATCATATCTGGTTTGTTAACTCCTTTATTACTAGCCCAACACCAGCTAGTCAGCTTGTATGTCATTCATCTACACCAGAAACTGGAGGTATGAATAGAGGATGGTGGAAGGTTATATGCATTCATTGGGCATCCGGCGTTAATGCTTTTCTTTTTTTTTTTTTTTTTTTTTTTTTTGGGGGGGGGAGCATTTTACATTTGATAGCTATATGAAGCATGAATGGCAGTGTTTTGATTCTGAGCAGCCAAAGTAAATGTTGTATTCTTTATGAGTATTTGAACACTAACATCCGGTTATTACTCTCTGAAGAGCTGGCCATTACCGAGACGAAATAGCAAGGCACCTTTTATGTCGCAGCACCAAGACACACTGGAGAACAGAGAAGTAGCATTTCCACAAATTGGTCATAATTTCCTAGGATAAAGATGTGTATCTTTTATTGTTTATTTTGTGCTGATAAACCATACTGTGCTGTGAATTCTAACACGAGGTTTTAAATAATTAGCAGTGAGGTGGCACAGAGCAGCTGCCACCACAAAGAAGCCACCTCCCTATCACGAAGGTTCACACACTGCGCAGTGTGAGACATCATGGTTAAGTTTTATTTGAAGAATTGGTGGTTATCTTTCCCTGTGGGGAAAAAAGGGGGAAGAAAATTAAGTTCAGGTGTACCTGGGTATTAATAATTGTCCTATTGGTTGTGATCAATTGCAATTTTAGTTTATGCTCTTGTTAATATTCATGCTGTTAATTACTTCCTATTCACCTGCTCTACCTGGTTTTATATGTATGGATGAGCTTTGTTTCTTGCTCCAACCCACCAGCAGTGAGGTGTGCTTACACCCTGTGCTGTACTCTGGCACAGTTAGCCATGCCAAGCTTTCAGGCTGAGTCTGCTTGATAATCAAAGATGCATTTTCCTGTCTTTTTTTAAGTTATTTTTTTTTTAGACTCATTTTCTACTTTGAGTTCACTTTAGTTACAGTTACATCTTTCTCCTACGAACTCAAGGACTGGAGATTTAATTCATTAATTAAAACTGATGCTTCCATGAAATACTAAATGTTGAGACTTCAGGGAAAGCCTCTGCTTGAAGCTTTCAGGTAGTGAAGCCTCTCAAAAGTAACAAGGAATGGCAAGTACTTCTGTGAAACGGTTATGAGGTGGTCCACAAGGAGATGGGCTGAAGATATAAGATTCAGGTCTGAATGCTACAGACATAGATCTTTCGCAGCCATAGTAGAAAATATTTCACTTTTCCAAACTTTTAATGAGGAAACAAAAAACAGGCAGATACGGGAAGAAAATTGTGATGAATAATTCTGTTTATCAGGGCCTCCTGATGTTGTATGTACGGCAATGGCATTATCTCCTGGGCTAGAAACCTACCTTCAGCATGTGTGCTTGTGCCATGCCCATCATTTGCTACTTTTTTCTACTCTCTCTTTTTTTTTTTTTCTTCCCGAAGTAGCATGTATTTTCCCCCTGAGCAGAAGACTTTCATCTTTACAAATGTATGGCTTTTATCTTTCCTGATGTATTTTTTTTTTCTTGCAAATACTCCAGACCAAATATCATAATCTTGTCTGGCTCTACAGCCTCTGCAGAAGGTTACATCTTTCCCTCACATAAACGCTGGGCTGGCTATTACAGGTCTTGTTGATCACCATGTGCAGGTTTAATCCCCTGCTATTGCATGTCTATAAAATACAGTTTCTTCCTTAAGCAGATCAAGCCCCAGTTTAAAAAGGGAAAGGAAAAATAGCATTTGCGTTGTGACTGCCTCCATGTTTCTCTGATTCAGAACTTTCTAGTAATTTTTAACCTGAGCTTTTTTTTTTTTTTGGTTACTTATCAGTTCTCTTCATTATTACACATGATTTTGCTTCTATTCTGATGGTTGTCCCAGTGATATAGTGATGGAGACATTTTGTGTTCTCACTCATGTGAACAAGCCTAATTCTTTAATTTTGTTATTAAATCAGCCTTCTCTGTTAATGCTTCTTCTTTCCTTGTTAAATAGAGCTGCCCAGTCATTTTCTTGCTTATCTCAGAGCTGGAAAGAGCATTTCTGATGTATAAAAGATTTATTTATTTATTTATTTTTGCATTGGTGGTTTATGGTCAGGTCTTCTGGCCTTTTTACTTGTTTCCAGTTGTTGGGTATATTGCTTCAGGTGATGTGAGTTAAAAGGGGACACTTCTTGTTTTAATGAAGCAATTAAGAAGTAAATGAGAGAAGAGACAGGCCAGGTTAGATCAGAAGGTGTAAAGAGTAATTTGAGATAGTTGTAAGGCTACTTAGGAGAAGCAAATGAATAGTAGCTATTCTGTAGCCTGGAGGAAGAAAGGAGTTTAATATACAGGAGCAAATATTGGGGGGAGAGAGAAAGGGACAAAATGTTAAAACTTCTGTATGTCTATATATAAAAAATTGTGTGTTTGTAAGAGGAGAAGCAACTGGAGTGACCTTCAGTGGTCAGAATGGAGAAAAAAAAAACAAAAAACAAAACTGAAACCAATATTCTAATCATGTTACAGCTGTTTGACCTGGGGTCAGTACCTGTTACATGCAGTATCACTATGGAAAGTAAAAGGTCCTGCAGAACCCCTGAGATGAAAGGAAGCACCGTCTGGAGTGGAAGCACTTTTATTATTACCGGAGTGTTCACATATCCTGAGAATGTTATTAATTTGGTTTATTAAAGTTGTACCGTATCTATCAGAAGGGAGAAATTGAATAACGCTGTTTTCTCTCTGGGCTGGAGTTCAGTATCGTGGTTTCAGTTGAGTACAGGCTCTGCTGTAAAATACCTAAAACAGGACTGGTTAGAAATTAGGAAAAGAAATCAAGGCTATCTCAAAATAATGTTCACTGATAAAAATCAAGAGGAATCACTATGATATCTACAGTTGAACCCAAAGTCTTTCCTATCTGTGACTTCTTATCTGGAAGCTGTTCTCAGGCATGCTGAGATTTAAGGCCTTAAAGTGATGCTTACAGGGCCAGTGCTTAGCGAAGAAGTTACGTTAGCTTTGTGCAGGGTCAGGCAATTCATGTGTAAATATTTAAACAAAACAAATGGAGGGAGGGAAGTTGAGTCATGTATCAAACTGATCTCTGTTGGCATTCATAGGTTCTTCACCTATCCTTGGAACAATGCTGAATCTATCAAAACTGTTGTCTGTAGTAGTTTCATATCAGTCCATGCTGCATTAGTGAAAGTATTGAACTTGTACAGTCAAAAGATTTATGATCACACACCTGATCACTAGGGTGCCTGAAGGCCAGCCTCCAGCTGAGGTGACCCAGAAGGCATCATCCCCCTTGCAAGTTTGTGGTTTTATGTATGGATGTTTAAATATTCCTTCCTTTATATAGAATGTACATAAACAATGTGCTAATGAGATTGAAAAAAATGTGCAACATGTTTACATGCAACTAAAACCAAGTTCTGTGGTCAGCTGTTCATTTTTGTTTTCTACCATGGTTTGTTCTCGCATGTGATACAGCCTCAACATGACCTGACCAATGCCATGCTGTGCTGTGACTTATGCCCTAGTGTAAATTCCCTCCTCTTTCCTAAAAGAAAACCCAGCAAAGCAGCCTATGGAATAGAGCAGGCCTGATTTCTGCCAGACTTCTGGTTTCAGTTAGGTCACTTGGCTCAGTGCACTAGTAGATAGTGCAGTATTTGCACTGCTAAAATAGAAACAACAACAACAAGAAAGTCACCTGTTTATCCTTTTTGGATGGGGGTTATGCAACATAAAACACATTCAAGTGCCCAATTGTGAGGTTTTTATCAGATAAAGAAATCTGAAGCTTAATGCATTACAGGTAACAGTCACTAGACGTTTGGCATTGTGTGAAATGTAAGTGAA